GATCAAGTCTTGAATCACTTTGGAGGTTGCTTCCTCCAGCCTGGTTCTTTGCACTCAGCTCTCTAGTAGCAAGATTGGGATTAGTTTGGCTGCATAGAGGAATAAGGATCCCCTGGGTAACCCCAAATTGCCTAGCAAATTGAGCAGCGCAGTACGCTTCTGTTATGCATTTGTAAGCTCGAGGGTATAAAGTGCTAATAAAAAGCTCCCTTGGAGTTAAGACAAAAGCCCACATGCCCCTGTGTTGAAGTTGGGAGCAGTTTCTGTCAGCTAAGAAAGTCCTCAACCATATTGGGCGAACATTGGCTTTGAAGGGACAGAAAAAGGTGTGAGAAGGAGGAGGAGATGGAAGTTGGTGGAAAAAAGTGAATTAGTAAGCAAAATTGGAAGGGTAGAGTGAAACTCTAGCGTATTTTACTCCATAAGTAGTAGGGTTTGGTACCAAAAATCTCAGACATCTGGAGTGTAAATCAGTGAAGTAGGCAAAGAGCCAAAATTGCAATATCCAGAGTGGCCCTCCTTGGTTGGTATTCAAAGGTTTTTTACAAAACTGGGAGCATGTTTTATATACGTGGCCTAAAACATATGGAGCTAGGGGTATCTTCTTTCCCAAAGCAAGAGCCTTGGCAAGAGGGGCAAATTCAGGCATAATCCTCTGAGAAGAAGTGCAAAATAAATATTTGCAAAGCCAGCATAAAAGAAAAGAGAAGAACTCTCGGTCTGTTACAAGGCCCTCCCTTTGGTTTTCAGAATTTGCGAAATCACTAAAGGAGGAGTTAAGAGGGGGAATAAAAAAAGGCACATTAAGGTCGGGATAATCAAGACCAAAAAGAGTGTTAATGGGGAATAGCCCTAAGAGATGACATATATCAAAAACAGTAGGGGCCATCATACCACATTAAAATTAGAAAAAATTAAAAGATAGATTCCAAAAACAGAGTGCAACAGGTATGAGAAAGTGGTCTTCAGAAATAGAAAACTTGGCTAGTCGAAGGGAGTCAAAGAGACAGAGTTCTTGAAGGTCCAACATCCTAGTAGGAACAACTCAATCATACCATTCCTCCCATTCAGGCCTCAGAGTGGGCCAACAACGGTGGAGTCGGTTCAACCTCTAGCTCCCCTAATCAAGGCCACTCTTGTAAAAGAGGCAAGGATCCTCTAGACGCGGGTATAAGGCAAGGAGCTGAGCAAGGGCTTTCTAGAAAATGGGTCCAAGCACGTATTCTTCTTGAGCATGGTGACAGGGAATGAGGATGCGTCTATCGACAACACACTGTTTATCGGCTCTGTATTTGTCACATTCCTCATTAATGAGTCTCCTCAAAGCCACAGATGGGCTTACACGCTCAACGACTGGTACTTTTAGAGAAGAAGAAGCCATTATCGAAGAGTTGAAAGAAGAAGGTGGATGAGGAGTGAAAAGTTGTAGACAAGACCAGTAAGGGTTGAATAGGTAAAGAGTGAAGAAAAAGGGTTTTAAACCTTTCCGTCCAAAAATTACCAAGTCGACCCAATGGGTCAAATAGACCCGAAATAAATTATTTGATGGTTTTGACTCATGTGGAATTAAAACTCCAGTTTTAAAACACAAGAGGTCTCAAAACCACATCATAGAGAGTCTTTTTCAAGAGTAAGTTTTGGGAGAGAAATATATTTTAAATGTTCAACTTGGCTTTGAAAACCTGTAGTTAGCTTCGAAACCAGTTTCCTATCAAGATCTTTGAAGCTTATGCCTTAGAAAGACATTAGTTACGGCTTGTTCTCTTTGAAGGTTTTATAAGCATACTCCTAGGACATCTTTATAAGGAAATGTCCTTTGAAGGAGTCTCTAGAATGCTTATCTTATTTAAAGTTTTGGGTACTGAAATAAGTAAGCACTACAAAACCAATTCTTGGTCAAGTAGTGAAGAAACCCAAAAGACTTACCTTTACATGAAAATTTCATCCTTGAATTTTCTATCTGAGAGAGCTCTTCAAGCGTAAGCAGTGTAATTTCTAAGGAAAAATTCCATACTTCAAAGCACTTAAACTTGGTTTCGAAGTAAGATTGGTAAGTTCAAAGCTGTTATTCACACAGATTATGTTAACTATACAATTGGAACATAACACCAGACCATAACAAATGAAATTTGAGAAGCCCAATTTTATTGATAAGTAATATTTACATTGGGGAAACTTACTTGGCTACATTCTCAATTTCGTAAAAATAAGGAATGAACAAAGTCACAAGATTATGGAACTTTGTCTAGGAAAATTCAATAAACACATATTCTTTTTCTAACCTATCTTCTATCATATCTAAATTCGATTTATCTAATTAATGAGCCCTTAGTTAGAAAAAAAGTTGTTGGGCCTTCATTTCAAATTCTGTTTGTTTAAGTGCCTTCTCTATCTTGTTTATTTCTCCATCTTCAGGTGTATCACCCATAGTGGCATCTTCCTCATACTATGGTTCTTGGTTTTTAAAGTCTTCATATTCTTCGAGAAGATTTTCTGCGTCATACTGAATTTGAATGCGAGTAGCAGAAGTATTCTCCAATAACTCACTGGTAATAAAAGCATTTGTGTACCAGTTGAGTAGAAGGGGAAGTTGATCTAAGAAAGTATGAAGTTCAGCTTGGACCACAGGATTGAGGATGTGACTTCGAGAAACAATATCCCAAAACCATAATAAGTTCTTGAGAGGGATGTCATCTCGAAGGACTTCGAATGATAAATGGGAGAAAGCGGCAAGCAGAGTCTGCGCTTTGTACTGTTGGTAAGGAATAGGAGGAACTGGAGCCTGGTAGAGAGCGAAATGCTGGCTCTCAGAAAAAGTGAATTTCAATTCCTCAATCCAGTTAGGATTGGAGGGTAAGGGAGGAGTAGTTGGGTTCCCTCCAAATGAAGGTGAGAATTCAAGCCTATTCACGCATTCTAGCCAATTAGAATAACAAAGTTTTGCCTTTTTGGCTAAGAGTGTAGGACTGATTCCCAAGGCTTCAGTAGGGTGTGGAGTCCTTCGCACTATTCTGGATGGCAAGGTAGAAGTATACCATGCTGAAAGCAGGTTGTCTTTAAGGCTGTGAAGACGGTCGAAGGGCACGTATGAATATACTACAGAACTGCACATGGTGGGGTGAATTGCAGTGGGATCATCAAACTCAGGAAATCGATGGTGTATTCGTTCTCTTGTTTGAGATTGAGTGGGTGTGGGCCAAGCGTCCCAGCCAGTATTTTTAGAAGATGATGAAGCAGTTTCATCCCATGCAGAAAGTTTTGGGGTGGAGGAGGAACTTCCAATATCCATTTTTTCAAGTTCTTAGTCCAGAGAATTGTAATTAGTAAATTCTTGGTCCAAAGGTTGATAATTTGTAAAAGTTTCCATAACTTATATGAATGGGGGCGGATAAATGTGGCTAATAAATGCATGGAGATTTTTTCGAGGGTGGTCATCATTGTCAAATGTCTCCTCGTATACTCGATCAATGTAAGAAAATGTTGGTTTCGCTATTAGAGATGTATCAGTCTCTTCGTATTCGCAGAATATAGAGGGAATATTTAAAGTGTGGGGAAGGATTTAATGAAGGTCAGTGCTTCGTTTCTAAAAAGATGGTTATACTTCAGCCAAGTTCATGCACATCCTAAGATGTAGACAAAGTGCATTGGTCCACTAATATCACCAAGTATTGGGTATATTAGTGCGGGGGTAATGTTGGTTACATATTTTGTATTAGCCAATCACAACTTAACACGTGGCATGAGGAGGGCAATTTGGGGAGTTAATATAAGTTGTCAATCAAAGTCGGACACGTAGCAGTTCGTATTGGTAATAATAGATCTGTGTAGCACTGGAACAATCGATAAACACAAGATGACGTGGCCTAATAGTTACTTATAAATTGAAATTCAAAATCAGGAGGGAAGCCTAACTGCAAGAGTGGCGTAGTGAGACTGACTGTGAGAGAGCATGTTCAGCAATTATAGGAGGACGCTTCGACGGTTGGAAGCCCACTTCGACGGTTACCACCGGGAAGTATAAATAGCAAAGAAGGCCCCAGAATGAAAAACCCAGACTCAAATCCAGAAACCAGTTTATTTACTTCATTTTCTTTTCAGTTTTACATTTTCAATTTTTTTACATTTTCAGCACTTCAATTCCTATACTATCCTTCATTTCCTAAGAGTAGTTTTTCGGTAGTTTGTTGTTGTGAACCTCGTCGAGGCTAGATCATTGTAACTTCATTGTAAGTTTTCATTTGTTTAATGAAATTCAATTTCTGAATTATATTTACTTGTTACTATTCATAATTTTCTCTTAAACAAGCCACCAGTAAAAATCCTCTTTATTAAGACTAAAAGAATTTCAACACAATCGGTTGATAATTGATTGGCAATTATAAATTTTGTAAGGACTAATTGATCTTTGCTAGCACACTTAAATTTACATTATTAACCTTCGAAAGTCAAAAAGGCCAACAACATGTTAACTCATTTTTATCATATATATATTTTGATAACTAAGTGTTTGGATAAACTTGTGCACACCTCAACTAATCTTAGAACCTTAAAGTTAACGACTAAACAAACCTCGAGTCGCCACTTAAATGACTTATACTTGAAACCTTAGATCTTGTTTTTAAATTTTTACCACTCGGTCAACCCTTTGGGGTTTATTTTTGTCATATAGTTAAGAAATAAAAATAACTCACCCAATGTGTTACAATTTCTCATCAACCAAAATAAAATATAATATAAACAATACCACATGATAAATATCTAATAATCTTCCCTTAATGGTAGTGTTTAGAATATGAATATACGGGTTAGCATCCCCTAGATTTCAACTCACAATTTATTTCAAGCGAACATACAACCAACATAGGTCATAGTCATATATTAATTAATATCAGATTCACTTGATCAAATTGATCTGTCATTAATATTATGATGTTTGGCTGCTCATACAATAGCATAATCTTGATAGATGATTTTCATCAAAGAAACTTTCCTTCTCAAACTAAATTTAGAAACAAAATTTTAATAATATTAGCTCTAACCAAAATTGAATTTTACATCAAAAAAGACTACAGCCATGGAAAGTTTATCAGACAAGAAAGCAAATACCATTCAGAATTAATCTAACTTCACAAAAAGTAGTAACAAAAACTGACAAATGCAGCAATGCCACTTAGAATGCAAAGTCGGTCTAACCTGCTTTCATTCCTCATCTTCTCTTCCTTCAACTCGCTCTGCACTTTCGAGTACAGATGGCACGATTCAAGGGCTTCGCTGTAATTCTTGCTCCTCCGGCAGCTCAGCGCTTCTTTGAGGACAAGCAAGCTGTTTCTTCCATTAACATGAGCACCTTCCATGTCTCCCAACTGCATGCTTAGCTCTGTCAATCTGAGACTCGTCTGAACGTCCTCACCTTCTGTATGGACCACCCTGAACTTCATAAGAAGGATGCATTCTACAACCTGACATGGAAGAATGTCTTTTGCAGGAAGAATCGACCCAAAGCGAATCAAGAAATCCTTGTCTGTTGGCCAATGTCTTTGTCCACCAAGAGGGCTCCAGCTTGAAAGATTGGCAGCCTGATTTATTTTTCTATTCACTACAATCCAACTAAGCCTGAGTCCATTTCGGAGATCTTGCCAGAGCTTCCCATCTTTCCTCTCTCTTTCCATGGATGCAATTTGTGGCAGACCATCGGAAACTGAAAGGGTAACTTCACCGTCATGGTCATCATCTCTAGCATAGGTAAGAAGATCAATCCGAAAAGGACAGTTGGAAAACCAACCATTGAATCCATTTGCATTTGGGATGCCCCAGAGGACTTTTGAGCAAATTGTTCTGTCTTTGTATCTGATATCGACTATAGAAACAAAATCTGAGGGTGAAATGCTTTCAAACTCATCCATGTCACCATAGTATTCAGCCTCAGTCCATTCTTCGGGGTATTCAAGATAGTCATTCCATCTAAACTCAGGAACTTCCTTGTTTACAATAAGGGGGAAGCAATCTGCATAGAACTTTTCAAACCCGCCAATTGATGATATTAGACTTTTGACATCTTCCCTGTTGGTTGAAGGCCACATAGAAGAACACACATTTTCCCATAATCTTTCTTCTTTCGAGATAGAACGGAGTGCTGCACAAGTACATGCTGCACTAGCCAAAGTTGCACCATCAAGACGCCTCAGTATGTCGTAGAAGAGATCACTGCTCAATGATGACATACTTTCAACTTGTGCAACTAATGCCATGGTCCTTCGATAATCTAAAAAAAAAAAAACCACAAGAAAAGTATTAAGGAAATGTACAAATGTGCACAACTGTGCAACAAGAAATATATTGACAATCACAAGAAAAATATGAAGAAACATACAAATGTGCACTACTGTCCAACAAGAAGTATCTTGCAATCACAGTATATTCCAACTTCCATGTTGTACAATATGTTGAATACTTGGCACCAAACATAATATAATAATGGCTGGCCATACAGTTCCCAGTTTTATTTTCAAATTAGAAAACATCCTAGAAGATCTTTGAGCCTTGCAAAATAATTGTTGTACATCCTACAACTTGGTCCTTGGGCCGAATGCCCAATGATATAATCTTCTCTAATATTATTTTTTATTTCTTCCTATAGCCATTTCAAGTAAATGGCCTTTGATAGGGCCGCGTGGAGAAGGATTCATGTAGCAGACCCCATTTGATGGGACTTAAGGCTTGGTTTGGTTTGGTTTGGTTATAGCCATTTCAAGTAAATATAGCATGACGTGGAGTAGAAATAGCCTCTCTTTTTTTTCCTAAGATGTAGTACTCAGGAATCAGGACCACAAAAATTGAGTAATAACTGCTATTGGGAGGCAACTAAAGTTCATATATTTTTCAGAATAATAGAGAGTCAGTTTTAAGTTCACTTTGAAGTAATGAAACCCAATCACAATCACTGCTATCTTGTTTCTGGAGCTGCAATCAGAATCTGATACCTGCTAAGAGGCTACATAGAGCCACTTGGAAACACCATCTGCAGCAGATAAACACAGATTTCTCTAAAAATCGGTATTATCAATTTATCATATTCATTTATTTAGGATCCCTCAAGTTCCAGTAGAAATTGTTATCTCAAATCTAAGTTGTAAACATGCCCACAATACCTTATGTTAAAACACTACGAAAAAAGATGAGATCAATGGAAAAAAATTATCGTGCGTACTCATGTACATGTGAAACTAGCAAAGAGGCCATTCAAAAAAAGTTTTCCTCATTCAAAGAATCTACCAAAGCTTTGAAGGTTCTGTTAATCAACATTCAAAAGAATGAGAACAAATTGTTTCCCAAACTTCTGACAATGGATAGTAGTGGAAGATACTCACGAGTCACGAGTCACGAGTTAAATATATGATTCGGCCTAAAAAAATGCTTGCATTTCTACTGGATAATAAGTGAGGAAAGGATGTCAAAGGCAAAAAGTACATCTGCATAGGCCATAGCTGAATTCAATATGTGGGAGTTAAGGCTTTGTTGAGTTGGATGGCAAACCAAAATGAATTTCAATTGAGAAGAGAATAAGTTTGAATCCGGGGATAGTAGATCACAAAATTCCACTTAGTCTGGCCCTTGATAACAAATATAAGAAACAAAAAAGTCTTAAGAATAAATAGGCTATAATTTAAATAAACAAAAATATACCCAGTGCATGAAGCACTGGCTTACAGCAGGACCTGGGAGAAGTATAGATAGACAACCTTTCCCCCATTTATTAGTGGAGAGGCCGATTCCAACAAATGGGTTATAATTAAATAACGAATTTGGAGATCTTTCAACTTTGTTATTTAAGTGGGGTGGTACCTGAACAAGTTTTTTTTAGTACCTTATCTAGTAGAAGTGACTGCCAATTAATGTATTGGCAGTACAACTTAAGTAAAGTACAAAAAATGTTACTGGCCCAATTCAGCAAACAAAAATAGGCTAGCAGACTGCCTGCCAACCATCTGAACCACCATTGCATCTCACTCCGAGAGTCAGCTGATAAAAATCAACTCCTAGAGGCCATTCCTACTATTTGAACTTATAAAAGAAGCGATAGGAAAAACTAAAAAGTTGAAAAACTACCCAAAGACATGCCAAATAGAGTGAGAAAAATGAAGATAGAATCTAAGGGAAGTATAGTAATTCCTATAAGCTTACTATGTCACACACCCCTCATGCAGTTCTATGCTGATAGAGGCAAGAGGTCATCTTCTAGACTTGTAAGTTGTAACCAAATAAAGCCCAAAAGTAATCTGGAGATTTCAAGAACAAACGACGACAGCCAAGAGTTGAACCAATAAAGGGGGAAAAAAATGTGTGTATAAAATTTTCATGACTCACAAATATATCATGATTGTCTTAGACAGTAGAGAGGTGTATGTATTTCATTATTCTCATTCAAAAGAAAATATAAGAAAATCTTTGATGCCAAGAAAGGTATAAGAAAATAATACGAAAATTATTTATCAAAAAAATGAAAGTAATTATATTTCTAACGAACAAACTGAAGTCCCCACCAATTTATAATTCGTTGCAAACTCAAAAATCAAAATACAGTTAATGCCTGTGGAGTTCATGATAAGTCACAAATTCATTAGTACCCAAGAATTTACAGGCAATAGAAAGAGCTAGGAAATCTATAAACTGTATGCCTATAGAAACACGAGTACCCCAAATGTAAAATATAGAGAGCATCTGGTTGGGGTTTGTTTTGGAATTGAGTTTTTTAGATTTTTTTTTTGATATTTTACAAAAAGACATGAAAAAAATAGACGGTATAGATTGACTTTTTTTTTTGTTGTTATTTTAGAGAATTGCCAAACATCCCCTTTATGTATAATGTATATACCATTAACACTAACAGAAACAAAGTACAAAATAACAACAGCAACCCAAATATTAACCACATTTAGCAAAAAACTATCATCACACAAACTTCTTGATTCTTGAAGAACCACAGCAAAGCTCATATGTGAAAATTTCACAAAAAAGATCAAGATTTCAGAACTAAGAATCAGAGAGAGAGAGAGAGAGAGAGATTGTTGACAGACCTCAGAGAATGGGTAACAGAAATTGAGGAAGTGAATTAGGCGAAATTGAGAGCTGATCTGAAGGAATTGGAGAGTCAAGAGAGTTCTGCTTTCACGAGAATCAGTTTACGGGTCACTTTCCCATTGTAATTGGGAAATTTCTAAAGGAATCCATTGATGAAATTGAGAAGCTTTCTCGTGATTTGGGCTTTATCTCCGATGAAATGATGAGAGAGAGAGAGTAGATAATTGTGTTTGTGTTCGTCATTCTTGTCACTGAATACTACTTTATTATATGATGAAAAATATTTCAGACTTTTTTTTTTTTTTTTTTTTTTTTTTTTTTTTTTTTTTTTTTTTTTTTTTTTTTGAGACCCCACCGTCTCAAGATCGTGTGGATTAATGATATCTTTGTATTATTTTTTTAGAGAAATTATATTGACATTTTTTTTCCTTATCTTTTAAAAATTACATTCCCTCTCTAAAGTTTAAAGTTTTATTATAAATTACCTATAAGGTTTAAAGTTTCAAAACAGTTCCCTCTTTACCGTAATCATCATCATACATAAAATTAAATTAACAAGGGTCAGTGTAATTTCCCAAATATGAGAGGAGAAAATGTAATAAATATAAATCTTAAGGGGTATTAGTGTAATTTATCCTTTTTTTTTCTTTCTTTTTTTTACTTAGACTAATTACAAGTGAGTAGGGATTGTGGGAGTGATAATATTTTATAGAATCATTACTGTTATATCATATATATCTTGATTCATCAGGGTGAAGAGTAGGACCTAAGGTCCCGTTTGTTTGGGGTTATAGAAAGGGGATTAGGTTTGATAGTGAGGAGGGGATTGGGAATGAGATGTTTGTTTTGAGAGATAGAGAGAGGATTAGTAATCCCTTGGGACTAGCAAGGAAGAGGAAGGGGGATTGGTAAGCATAAGGTAGAGATGGTATTAGAAAAATAGTGAGGGGATTAGAAAATTTTTTATTTTTTTTATTTTTTATATATTGGGAAATTTTTTTTTTAAATATTAATGTTTAATTTTTATATTTTTTATTTGTTTTATTATTTTATATAAAAATAATTTATCAATCCCCTCACTATCAATCTCCTAACTATTAATCCCCTCACTATCAATTCCCTAATTTAATAGGATTATTAATACTTCACTATTAATCTTGTGAATCAAACATGACCTCCATTCTAGCTTCCAAAACAAACAGGGCCTATGAGTCTTGCTATGTGGTATTGCATGCACTCGATTTCGGCCTCCTGTTTGACTTCTTGGAGAGAAATGTTTGGTTTCATTTTCACTCAGCTTTCTAAATTTTTTTATAAAAAATTATAAAAAAAAAAAAAAAAATTCAAATTAATTTGACAAAAAAATATTTTTGCCGGGAAAACGAAAATGTACATAAAAAAGGGATTTTTTTCCCCCATTATTTTCACCAAATAATTTGTTTTAAAAACTAGCAACAAATGAACGAAATGTGCCACTCTTGATTTTAGCCTAAATTTAGCCTAAAAATCAAGAAAATTATTAAAAAGGTCAAAAATCAACAAATTATACAAAAAATTTAAAAATTCTATTTTATTTTTACCTTTTACCTATCTTTTTGTAAAAAATCATCCTAAATATATTATTTTTTTATCTCATATTTTAGTTAAAAATTATTAAAATATCTTATTCTCCAATAAGGTCCAAGTGACTGGAGACACAATTCTTGCTTCTTTTTTTCACTAATGAGAGATAATTGCATTAAAATAGACACTTAACTATTACATAAAGTCCAAATAAATAAATAAAAACACATAGTCCAACATATAACTACAAACACACAACAAATCTAACAAAAAAATGAGGGAGAAAAATTTAACACAGCCATAAATGTACAAACAACTCAATAAACATAAAGCAAAGAAAAATGTTTGAGGGCCACAATTTTTGTGATTTAAATGGGTCGAAATTGTTAAAACGACGTCGTTTTGACAATTTCGAAGTTGTTTTGTACTCAAAACGATGTCGTTTTGGCAATTTCGAGCCATTTGAGCCACAAAAATTGTGGCTCTCAACCATTGCTGTAAAAACAAACATCTTATTTACAATTATAAATACAAACATTGTAAATCACATCTATACCTTATTAGGTAAAATTCTTTCCGTAAAAGGGTAGCTATTTAAACACTCCAAACTAATGCAGAGAAAAAGATTCACATATCAATGGAAAGAACTGAATCATGACCTCAATGTACAAGATTTTTTGAAGAGCTAATCAATTGGTTGAAACTTTGAAGATGTGAATCATAATTGAGAACGCACAATTTAGAGCGTGGCCAACACATCTTGACCCACACCAATAAACAAAAAAATAATGAGCAAGTTGCAACCTACAAAGTATAAAATGAGGGATCTAGGGGTTGGCTTAATAGTGCACCTTAGACTACAAGGGTGTGCTTCATTTAGGTTTCAAGTTTAATTCTCATTAGGCATTATAAATTTTTTGGGATTATATCTCCGAACTTTGTCTAAAATTTGTTCAATTCACATGAAATGACGCTTTGCATGAGTCTTGAGATTAGTTAAAATACGTGTAAACTAATCTAGATACTTGATCATATAAGTAATATATAATAATAGAAAAAATTGGTCGCAAATGAGGTCCTCACAAATATCATACTATTTAACAATGAATGAACCATAATGACAGTGTATTGTGCAGATGCAGATAGAGACTATACAAGTGCTTGGGATAAGGGCATACCTAGATTCGATCATTGATCAACTTTCTTGGGCTTCACTTCGCGGCCCCCCCCCCCCCCAAAAAAAAAAAAAAAAAAAAAAAAAAAAAAAAAACTTTACATGTGTATTCATGATTTGGATGTGTGACCAACCCAGCCACCTGTTTCGTCATGTCCCTGCCATAATCAATTCCAATGCAATTGTAAAAGTTTATAAAATTCCATGCCCAATCGGATGAGTACAAGAAACCAAATCGTACAGAAAGACTCATTTTCTATTTGACTCACTTGATGTTAATATGTCAACCGTAGTAGATAGAGTAATCAAGATGAAGACAATATACAGACCAACTTAAAATTTAATTTATACTCAGTGGGTTGATGAGATGCATTTATTTTGGCTAGGGTTTAATTTAAAATCAAATGTGTAGGTGACCTAATGGGCACGAAAGGGACGAGCATAATATGGTTGGACTGGTCATATATTACCTTAGTGATATTTTATATGGTCATACATAGAACAACATTACTAGAAACAAGATAAAACTACTACTTGCCTACATCTTAGGGAAAGGAAATTTCTGTAAGGACTTCATGACAAAACAAGAGTGTTTTAGCCAGTTGGTTAATGCCACTAGTATTCCCTTCACAAGGCGTAGTCTTTTTGTTTAGTTTTTTTTGTTTCCTTGGTACCTAAAAACAACAAAATAAAATAAAAAAACAAAGAAAGGAAACAAGACAAATTATACCTCCGTTTGGAAAGTGGGTTGGTTTTTTGGCTATTTTAGCCTGGGCTAAAAAGCTTGGTTTGGGAAGGGCTTTTTGGCTTTTTTTGATTTTTTTTGTGAGAGAAGAGTGTAATGATTATGGGTTGGATGTGATGTTTTGTTTGTTATGGCTAAAATAACTTATTTTGTCTTTTGTGACTATTTTAGCCCCAACCTTGCTTGCCAAACGTGTAGAAACATAGAAGGCCTTCGGGCTTGGCCTACAAGACAGAACAGAGTAATTCTTATACAAAGCTTGTTTGGTTGGTTGTGCTTTTGGCTTTCATTTTGTGTTTTTTGTTTAAAGAACTGTTTTCAAAAGCTGTTTGGGTGATAATTTTTTGAAAACAAACAACCTTTTATGTTGCGTTTGGTTGAGAGATTTGAGGAGGGATTTGGAAAGGGAAATGGAAAAAGTAGGTGAAATATGAATAAAACATGCCTAAATTTCACCTAGTTTCACACATCTTTTCCCTTTCCCTTTCCAAATCCCTCCCCAAATACTCCTACCAAACACACCACTAGAAACACCAAAAATTGTTTCTGCACAAAATAAAAACGATGGATGTTTCTGAACTTTTGGTTACTTTTATTTTTATAGACTTGAAAGTTAAAAAACTAAAACACAACCAAATAGACACTTAACCAAAGCCCACAAAAAAAAAACAGAATCACAAAACAAAAGAAACTACAAAACAGAGTCTGATTCTGCTAAGGTATCCTGCAAAAGGGCTTGTCTTCTCCTGCTTTCCCCTGGCTAGCTGCAACACAACATTCAAACAATCAACTAGTATTCCCTTCATAAGCCGTAGTCTTTTTGTTTAGTCTTTTTTTTGTTTCCTTGGTACCTAAAAACAACAAAATAAAATAAAAAAAATAAGGAAGGAAACAAGACAAATTATAGTGTAGAAACATAGAAGGCCTTGGGGCTTGGCCTACAAGACAGAACAGAGTAATTCTTATACAAAGCTTGGTTGGTTGGTTGTGCTTTTGGCTTTCATTTTGTGTTTTTTGTTTAAAGAACTGTTTTCAAAAGCTGTTTGGGTGATAATTTTATGAAAACAAACCACCTTTTAGAAACACCAAAAATTGTTTCTGCACAAAATAAAAACGATGGATGTTTCTGAACTTTTGGTTACTTTTATTTTTATAGACTTGAAAGTTAAAAAACTAAAACACAACCAAATAGACACTTAACCAAAGCCCACAAAAAAAAAACAGAATCACAAAACAAAAGAAACTACAAAACAGAGTCTGATTCTGCTAAGGTATCCTGCAAAAGGGCTTGTCTTCTCCTGCTTTCCCCTGGCTAGCTGCAACACAACATTCAAACAATCATAAAATATATTTTAATTGGCTAGAGAGAGCCCATGTAACAACCATGTGACTAGCTAAACACCTTAGAAATATAGTGTCAAGAAAAGTACCAATAATAGTTCAGTCTTGCCTAAGAAGTGAAGAAACTCACATGAAAGGTTGGCCAAAGCCAATTAACAATCCTTAAGGTAGATACTTGTATTGGACTTGTAAGTTTTAAAAACAAAAGATAATTTGAAATAACTTGTAAACACACACTTTAGTCAATCTTCTATGTAATACACAAGCACTTACCACTTTAAATTGAAATTTTGATTTTAAAAATTAATTTTCCATCAACATGCGAGCTGGGAAATGCTTCAAATTGTAATTCAAGGATAAGTTTATCTTTGACACTTTTTCTTAAATTTGAAATGCATATGAAAATTTTTGAGTAGCAGTTTTGTTGTCTTAGCAAACATGCAAAGAAGCAAATTACACAAAAACAATTCAAGTAACATAACTATTAAATGCACATCATTAAAACACAAAAAATTACACTTCATGATTAAGATTTATTTTCCGCATAACTCACAAGATAAATGTACATCTTTTTGGATTTTAATTTTGTCCACCTAAATAATGCAAAACAAAAGATAATGGAGAAAATCAATACACAACCATATGATAGTATTGATTTTATCACTTTTAAGGCAAAAACTCATTAAATCTCTCTCTCTCTCTCTCTCTCTCTCTCTCTATATATATAGATCTGTCAAATTCATGTTTGTGAAAGTTAGTAAATGGAAATTGAAAGAACAGAGCTATTTATTGATTAATCACTTGACTTCAAAACTGTCTCACAGTACAAAACCCTAATAATTAATCATCAAAAAACAAAAACACAGGAGAGATATACGACACATAACACCTAGGGTTTTAAATTTGGGGCTTCAGAGTTCAGAGGCCTTCGTCGTCGGCCGTCGGCGATTTCTTAGTTGTGCTGTCGTCATCGGCGTCGTCGGGGTCTCGAGTCGGGTCAGACTTGGTCAAGGCGGCACGGGCCTTGTCAAGCCATGGCTTGAACGCGAGTTCAATGGCTAGCCACCCAAAAGCTAGGGCTCCGGCAACGATAGCAGTCGATTTCAGTGCGTTCGCGTTCCCTGATCTCGCCATTGAAGATTCTTCTTCTTCTTCCTTCCTATGCAAGCAAGCTTGTATTGAACATCAATAGTAACTGTAACGATGTATATATCTATACAATTCTTAGGTCAAACGAGTACATGTAGAGTTGCTTTGCGTGGACTAGACGACAGGGCGTGACTTGGCCAACGGGTTAACAAAATGGCCCATGAACTACGGGTTAGGGTTGCATTGACGGGTATTCAATCGCGGTCCGAAGCGACCTGTGTTATTAACAAAACCCTTGAACCATAATAATAAAAAACAACCAAACAATTGTTTTAGATTATGGGTTTGTGGTGAGGAACAACGTTGTTTTAGATCATAGTCTTGTGATAAGGAATATCATTGTTTTAGCTCATGGTTTTGTAGTCATTAGAATATTAAAATGATGGGTCATGCTCCGGAGTTCTAATTAGAGCTGCAATTAGAGCTGTCACCTATATAAAAAATAAAAAAAAAAAGTGAAGTAAAAGACAAAAAAGAGGGAAGAAAAAGACAAATTAGAGATGCATTAGAAGTCCTTTTTTAGTGGTCCAAATCATTTTTGTAAAATGATACATCTAATCTAGGAGTGACCATTGTTGAATACAATATTTTTAATATTTAAAAAAACATATTTTTCTCATAAAATCGGATTGAGTTGAATTTTATACCTAATTAATATTCAAGTTGGGATTAGATTCTATAGATTCTAATCCCATTATTTATTGAAAAGTAGGTGAATAAATCACATGTACATTAATTAGTGTGAATTTTATTATTTTGTATCTAATAGTGAAAAAATGAAATAAGAAATGTGATTAAGTATCACACAGATTTGGAGGCTTTATAAAAAGAATTTCATATCAAGAATAAGGAAAATGCATAAGAGCTCAGTGGGAGTGCTAGGAGTCTGTTTTGGTTGGCCAAAAAAATTTTTTTTTTTCTTTTTCTTCTCCATTGGCAGCCCCCCACGTGGAGGTGGGGGGGGTGCTGGGTGTTGCTCAGTACTGGGGTCCGGAGCAGCGCCCCAAGAATAAATAGAGTGAAAATTTCTACAATCCTAAATTTTATAGGCTTTGTCTGGGAAGCAGAGTTAGAACTATTTTAGTCACAAAAAGACAAGATAAATTTTTTAACTCAATAAGACAAAATATCACATCTAACTCATAATTATTATATTTTTTTCTCTCACAAAAAGTCAAAGAAATCCTTTCCAAACAAAACTTTTTAATCCCAGACTAAAATAGTTAAAAAGTCAAGTCCCTTCCCAAATGAATCCATAGACTATTAGATTATGCAATGGGTGGAAGCACAACAAGATCATTGCAAGCAGAGGATTCAGATTCCCAATTCATAGTTAGACCTGACAACAAACCTCTGGAAGATTACCTAGTTCTATTAGAATGAAACCCTACAAAAAGAAATTAGTGACATTGTTTTTTTTTTTTTTTGATAAATAAAATGTATGGTATGAACTGAGGAGGAACTTCAGAACGTGCCAACTGTCAATGATGGGCAAACCCTGCTTACCAAGAAGGCTTTTCATGTCTGAAAATGCGAGAAGAATCACAGTTATGGAGTCATTCAAAACACATCCATTCCTTTCTCATTAGAAAGTCAACAAACCCACAGTTACAGATTATATGAAAATGGTGCTCAAACTTATAACCATCAGGAAAAAAGATTCAGCTATTTCAAGACTAGATAGGAAACAGGAACTTCCACAATGCAGATGCTTTACAAAACCAAATGCCCCAAAAATTGCAATGACTGCAACATAGCTAACGGCCTCTGCCACGTCCGCGCCCGCGGCCACGGCCTCTGCCACGTCCCAAAGGCTTCCCTGAATTATTAGAAAGAGAAAATGCACATGAGATTAAAATAGTGGAACATAGAAGAAAAAGAAATTGACAACGAAATGCAATGAATTGCAGCCACAACAATAATGCAATACCTGCAGTTGGCTTCTTGGGTTTGACCCGAGGTGTCTCTTCTACCAACAAAGTCTCGAGATTCAAGCTGTCAGGAAGGATATAGTAGCGAATATTGTTACCCCTCACACTCAGGTGATCCATTGTCACTGGATTTTTACCCTTCAGTGTAAGTTTCACTGTCTTCAAATGTGTGTTCATACTAATATCCACACCTATATCAAGCCAACAAAGCAAGCAATCAAAAAGTGGGGTACATTCAGCTGAACATGTAACATGCAACCATGTGTTTCAAGTCAACAATCAGATTTTTAATTGGAAAACAAAACCCATCAGATAACTCTCTCCAACTGTATGTCATATGCATTAATAACATGGAAAGTCATCCAGTTAGTTTGACTCCAAAAAAAAAAACAAACAAACAAACAAACAAAAAAAACAAAAAACTTGCAATCTTAACAAAAAGAACCTTCAACTATAAGGTAAGGTCATGTTGTATAAGTCAAACTTTTCATGGGCATGGAGAGTGGGCAAAAACACCATTCCACAAATACACACAAATGCACAATAGCAGGATCTACGTTGTAATAGTAGGGGAGAAAAAGCGTAGAAGGGTACTAATGCACTGTTTGGTATCCCTTTAAGTCAGCTTTCCGGATTATAGCTTTTTACATTATTAGCTTAAAAGATTTAGGGTTGGTTTGGAATGTTCTAAAAAACGTGCACTTTTTGACTTATTGGTTTATATGGGTTGGGTTTGGATTGGGTTTGATGTGATGTATTAGAGAGGTGATGTGATTTAAATAAGATGATATGACTTAAATAGGATAGTGACTTTTTGACTTTTTGTATTATTTAGTAGATGCCAAACTTGGCCTTAAAATAGGTTGTAAATCTGGGATCTACGTTGTAATAGTAGGGGAGAAAAAGCGTAGAAGGGTACTAAGGACTGTTTGGTATCCCTATAAGTCAGCTTTCAGGATTATAGCTTTTTACACTATTAGCTTAAAAGATTTAAAATAGGTTGTAAATCTGTTTGGTACAACTTTTCATTATAAATTTAAAAATAAAAAAAGAAAAGAAAAGAAAAGAAAGAGTTGAACCTGTTTGGTTAATTAAGTTGTCATGTAGTTTTTTTTTTGTTGTGCAAATATCCAAGATACCCTTGGGAGTTATAATTAAGACAAAAGACGAGACTCTTTTGTCCAAATGTACTTATGGGTTTCAAATAAGCTAAAAAAGCTACAGATTGTGGCTTAAAAGCCAAATAAGTTGAAAATGCAAATAAGCTATGATCTAAAATTCCAACCAAACACCATTAGTCAACTTATTTTAATTGAATAAGCCAAATAAGTTGATTAATAAGTGCTACTAATGGGGCCTGAATACCATACTATTTTGAAGCTCAAAAACCAAAATTCAAATGAGAAAGTTTCAGACATAAAAAAAACTTCCACAAAGGAAAGAAGTTGGGATTAGATTAGAGTGACAATTAAAAATGGAAGAAAATACCTCACAGGCAACCACCTGCCAGTAGTTATCCAGCTAAATTGGGCACAACTATGGGCAAAAAGATATATTCAACCTGGATAAATCCTAAAATTCAAGGAAATGTTACCAGTGGCAACAGAGGGGCGCCATGGCCCTCCCTGACCTCCAAAAAAATCTAGTAGGTTGGTTAGCTTCTGCTCAAAAATCTTGGGAGCACAATGACCCCCCAAGCCAAAACCCTGCCCCAAACTTCTAACATACATCCATATACATTCACAAATATGTGTGGTATCTACACTATACACAGGCAAATTGTTCATGTTTTTCATTCGAGGTGCAAAGCCTTTTGAGCATACGAAGGTATGCCATTATGCTAATGCTCCTGCTATGCCAAACTGCAACATTCTGCTCACACCACAAGTATAAATGCTCTACAAAATCCTATTGAAAGAATCTGATATGATTACAAAATGAAACAATTTCTCGAACTAATCCCAGGATCTAACTTTCATGTTTGTAAATAAAAAATAGTATTCTAAAAAAGTTGTACAAGTCTTTTTGAGTTAAGATAGAGAAACATGACCATCAAACAACATATGTCCTTGTTAGCTAATTGTGTAGTTTAGCCCCATTTTATTGGATATAAACCAAAACTTTTCTAATGGTAATGGGGATGATTTTAAAAACATTTTATTAATTTAATTGGCTGCAGTTTGGAACCAAGTCTTGAATCTGTTCTGAAATATACAAACCAACTTGATAACCGAAAATAACGATATATGTGATTCTGGATTGAGAGGTAAATCTTACACACAAATGCACATATTTAATACCTAATGGAAATCGCGACACTTGTGGTTATTTGATGCAATGGAAAGTTCACTAAAAGATAATCACACTTCGTGCAAATCTAAATTCAGTCACACGAGTGGTGTTCAGTTAGTACTGTTCTCTTGACAATGCTATTGAGAGAAAACAATATTTCAGCTCAAGAACCACAAACAGAATGAAAACTAATAACAAATACATGACTAACACTTCCTCAATGGCTTGGGTTGTGAGGTTAAATGAAAATTGTCAGCCTGTATACTACCAATTGGGTTTTGAAGACGGTTCCAATGCTCAGATTTCATGATTGGGAAAGTGGGTGGGACTTCAAAGAAGCTTGATGGGCAGTGTAATTAATAATTTAACTTGTTACAGATTAAAATTTCATCTACAACATGTCTGTCTACCAATGGTGGTTTCTCAAATTTCTATTCATGCCAGTGATGCCACGCAAAATAGAAGAACCGTACATCCAAAAGGCATAAATCCTGGCTTACAATTTCCTTGGATACAAACGAGTGTTTATGTGATTCCAAAATGTCAAAGACAGGGCATGTGATTCCAATAAAGAAAATCAAAGATACAAACGAATGTTTATGTGTTTGTGTGTGTATGCGTTTCAAGTGTTTAGCAATTGAATACATATATACACGAGCTTAGTCCAACAAAACCCTAATCCATTGTTTCATTACTGGTAAAATTTGAGCCAAAAAAAAAAAACTGATTCCAAAATATTCATCGTTCGAGAACTAAAAAACAGAACGCGCCAGCTAACAGATCTCCATATAAATATAAGAAAAAAATGTTTTTTTTTTAAAAAAATTTCTTCTTCACTCTTTAGTTTCTCATTAGCCAAACAGAGAGAAGAGAGAAAAAGACAGACCTGTGATGGTGCCGTGAACAACGGTTCCGTTCTTGAGCTCAATCGACACGGTCTCGTTGTTCAACTTCATCAAAAACCTGCTCGTACAAAATCAAAGACCACAAACAAAGTATTTATTTATTTTTTTTAAAAAAAAGCAGATTAACAATGGAATTACCAGCATATTAAAGCAGAATAATAAAAAAAATAAAAGAGATAAAAAAAAATTATGGACCTAACGAGCTTCATCGTTAACAGGACGAAGAAGAAGAACGCTAGGGCTTTACGACCACAAGCCGCAGAGTCTCTGGAGAAGACGGGGTTTAGGGCACGAAGGCATGTAGTTGTCTACTCCACATTACGATACGGCGTCGTATGTGTGTTTACCAATTCCGAACAACGCTTCAGGGCCCGGGCTTGGCGCTGGCGGCCAAGTGAACGTTTTGGGCTTAACCGACACATGCGAGGTTGTAAACGAATTTAGCTTCTTTTTTCTTTTTCTTTTTTTATAGGGAAAATTATTGGGATATTTACCAATAAATCGTATCTCACAGACAGTTTTATTGATTGGTCCTGTACGGGAAAGAAATAAATCTTCTCGTATAATCCTATTGATCAAATTTGGCTCCTCCGTACGTCGTCGCTTTACTCCCTGAAAACACAAACGTGAGCTAGCCAGCGAGTGTGTGCCGGATACCTCTCCAATGCCTAAGTCAGCAAAAATAGACAAATAGACAAAGTTCTGTGTATTCGAGAATTAAAGTTGTGTTACCTCTCCATAGGTGATGTTATGAGCTTTTATAGGTTCTACGTAGCACAATCCTCGTAGGACTCTTACTTCTCCATGTAGAGTCCTTCTAGGAATCACATTCCTGAAAGATAATACTTATCCTTCAACACCATCCTCACTGCTTAAATCAAGTTAGATGGTTTTACCTAGGTCGGATATCAATACGACCGGGATAACGTGGCCATGCTAAAGCCGCAGACTAGACCGCGCTCCACCTAGCTCGGTTCTTCTTTTCGCAGCGTGTACCTCGGTTCGACGTACTCCAACCAGGCTGTTGAGATCATGCTAACCATACTGAGCTAGGACCGAATTAACCCATAGCATGGTTCTGAGGAAGGCTTAACATACTTTGGCTCAATATGGTATGACCGGGCTAACTGTTACCACGCCGACCGTGGTGACCGAGCTAACCACCAAGCTCTTTCAGACCGGGCTAACTGCAAGGCTCCTCTGGACCGGGATAACAATAAGGCGTTCTCAGGACCGGGCTAACTCCAAGCCCCTGTTTATCCAGCCCTTCTTACCGTGGCCCAATGAACGGCCCATTACCCAGCTCGGCCTAATTTATATATAAATTACCCTCTCAATTGCCCCTTTTCTATTACGTTCTACCGTATTGACCTTTGCTGTAGTCTTTTTATCTGGTGTTGCTGTTGCACCAGATTTTGCTTTGGCACGGGCGCCATCCTCCTCCACCCGAATATGCTGGTGCACTCTCTCACAAGCGGCACTTGGAAGATGGAAATGGCACTAGGAGGCAAGAGCTTCGCAGTTACAAGATTGAAGAACAAAAGAGGCTCAGAGACGAGAGAGAGAGAGAAGTAGATGAATAGTATGAGAGTGATCAAAACAAGGGTTTGTTTTGTGTAGAAGGAAGAACGAAAAAGCGGGAACGTTCAAAAACACGAGGTACAAGACGGCGTGACAGCTGCCTTCAGCCAATGAGAGCATGCCACGTGTCCTTGGAATAAGAAGCGATTGAAGAGACACTTTGACCAGACAGATAGAACCCAGTGTGTAAATTTAGCTCGGCTGGAAAGGCTAAAGAGTTTTAGCTCGGCTGGAAAGGCTAACGAGTTTTAGCTCGGCCGGAAAGGCTAAAGGGTTTTTGAGCTCGGTTGGAAAGGCTAAAGAGTTTAGCTCGATAGTAAGTTTTAGCTCGGCTGGTAACAGGTAATCCCTACCATGCTATGCAGATGGAATTAAGGAGCAATTAGAGGGTAATTTATATATAAATTAGGCCGAGCTGGGTAATGGGCCGTTTTCATTGGGCCACGGTAAGAAGGGCTGGATAAATAGGGGCTTGGAGTTAGCCCGGTCCTAAGAACGCCTTATTATCCCGGTCCAGAGGAGCCTTGCAGTTAGCCCGGTTCGAAGAGGCTTGGTGTTAGCTCGGTCACCACGGTGGCGCGGTAACAGTTAGCCGGTCATACCATATTGAGCCAAAGTATGTTAAGCCTTCCTCAGAACCATGCTATGGGTTAATTCGGTCCTAGCTTAGTATGGTTAGCATGATCTCAACAGCCTGGTTGGAGTACGTCGAACCGAGGTACACGCTGCGAAAAGAAGAACCGAGCTAGGTGGAGCCGGTCTAGTCTGCGGCTTTAACATGGCCACGTTATCCCGGTCGTATTGATATCCGACCTAGGTAAAACCATCTAACTTGATTTAAGCAGTGAGGAGGTGTTGAAGGATAAGTATTACTTTCAGGAATGTGATTCCTAGGAGGACTCTACATGAAGAAGTAAGAGTCCTACGAGGATTGTGCTACGTAGAACCTATAAAAGCTCATAAAATCACCTATTGGAGAGGTAACACAACTTTGATTCTCGAATACACAGAACTTTGTCTATTTGTCTATTTTTACTGACTTAGGCATTGAGAGGTATTCGCACACAACCGTGGCTAGCTCACGTTTGTGTTTTCAGGGAGTAAAGCGACGACTACGGAGGAGCCAATTTGATCAATAGGATTATACGAGAAGATTTATTTCTTTCCCGTACAGGACCAATCAATAAAACTGTTTGTGAGATACGATTTATTGGTAAATATCCCAATAATTTTCCCTATAAAAAAAAAAGAAAAAGAAAAGAAGCTAAATTCGTTTACAACCTCGCATGTGTCGGCTAAGCCCAAAACGTTCACTTGGCCGCCAGCGCCAAGCCCGGGCCCTGAAGCGTTGTTCGGAATTGGTAAACACACATACGACGCCGTATCGTAGATGTGGAGTAGACAACTACATGCCTTCGTGCCCTAAACCCCGTCTTCTCCAGAGACTCTGCGGCTTTGTGGTCGTAAAGCCCTAGCGTTCTTCTTCTTCGTCCTGTTAACGATGAAGCTCGTTAGGTCCATAATTTTTTTTTATCTCTTTTATTTTTTTTATTATTCTGCTTTAATATGCGTGGTAATTCCATTGTTAATCTGCTTTTTTTAAAAATAAATAAATAAATACTTTGTTTGTGGTCTTTGATTTTGTACGAGCAGGTTTTTGATGAAGTTGAACAACGAGACCGTGTCGATTGAGCTCAAGAACGGAACCGTTGTTCACGGCACCATCACAGGTCTGTCTTTTTCTCTTCTTCTCTCTGTTTGGCTAATGAGAAACTAAAGAGTGAAGAAGAAATTTTAAAAAAAAAACATTTTTTTCTTATATTTATATGGAGATCTGTTAGCTGGCGCGTTCTTGTTTTTAGTTCTCGAACGATGAATATTTTGGAATCAGTTTTTTTTTTTGGCTCAATTTTACCAGTAATGAAACAATGGATTAGGGTTTTGTTGGACTAAGCTCGTGTATATATGTATTCATGCTAAACACTTGAAACGCATACACACACAAACACATAAACATTCTGATTTGTATCTGTTTAGATTTTCTTTATTGGAATCACATGCCCTGTCTTTGACATTTTGGAATCACATAAACACTCGTTTGTATCCAAGGAAATTGTAAGCCAGGATTTATGGCTTTTGGATGTACGGTCTTCTATTTTTGCGTGCATCACTGGCATGAATAGAAATTTGAGAACCACCATTGTAGACAGACATGTTGTAGATGAAATTTTAATCTGTAACAAGTTAAATTATTAATTACACTGCCCATCAAGCTTCTTTGAAGTCCCACCCACTTTCCCAATCATGAAATCTGAGCATTGGAACCGTCTTCAAAACCAATTGGTAGTATACAGGCTGACAATTTTCATTTAACTCACAAACCCAAGCCATTGAGGAAGTGTTAGTCATGTATTTGTTATTAGTTTTCCTTCTTTTGTGTTCTTGAGCTGAAATATTTTTTCTCTCAATAGCATTGTCAAGAGAACAGTACTAACTGAACACCACTCGTGTGACTGAATTTAGATTTGCACGAAGCGTGATTATCTTTTAGTGAACTTTCCATTGCATCAAATAACCACAAGTGCGCGCGAATTTCCATTAGTATCAATTATCGTTATTTTCAGTTATCAAGTTGGTTTGTATATTTCAGAACAGATTCAAACTTGGTTCCAAACTGCAGCCAATTAAATTAATAAAATGTTTTTAAAATCATCCCATTAGAAAAGTTTTGGTTTATATCCAATAAAATGGGGCTAAACTACACAATTAGCTAACAAGGACATATGTTGTTTGATGGTCATGTTTCTCTATCTTAACTCAAAAAGACTTGTACAACTTTTTTAGAATACTATTTTTTATTTACAAACATGAAGCTAGATCCTGGGATTAGTTCGAGAAATTGTTTCATTTTGTAACCATATCAGATTCTTTCAATAGGATTTTGTAGAGCATTTATACTTGTGGTGTGAGCAGAATGTTGCAGTTTGGCATAGCAGGAGCATTAGCATAATGGCATACTTCGTATGCTCAAAAGGCTTTGCACCTCGAATGAAAAACATGAACAATTTGCCTGTGTATAGTGTAGATACCACACATATTTGTGAATGTATATGGATGTATGGTTAGAAGTTTGGGCAGGGTTTTGGCTTGGGGGGTCATGTGCTCCCAAGATTTTTGAGCAGAAGCTAACCAACCTAACTAATTTTTTTGGAGGTAGGGGGCCATGCTCTGTTGCCACTGGTAACATTTCTTGAATTTTAGGATTTATCCAGGTTGAATATATCTTTTTGCCCATAGTTGTGCCAATTTAGCTGAGATCTTGCAGGTGGTTGCCTGTGAGGTATTTTCTTCCATTTTTAATTGTCACTCTTTCCTTTGTGGAAGTTTTTTATTATGTCTGAAACTTTCTCATTTGAATTTTGGTTTTTGAGCTTCAAATAGTATGGTATTCAGGCCCCATTAGTAGCACTTATTAATCAACTTATTTGCTTATTCAATTAAAATAAGTTGACTAATGGTGTTTGGTTGGAATTTTAGATCATAGCTTATTTGCATTTTCAACTTATTTGGCTTTTAAGCCACAATCTGTAGCTTTTTTAGCTTATTTGAAACCCATAAGTACATTTGGACAAAAGAGTCTCGTCTTTTGTCTTAATTATAACTCCCAAGGGTATCTTGGATATTTGCACAACAAAAAAAAAAACTACAGTGACAATTAATTAACCAAACAGGTTCAACTCTTTCTTTTC